CTCTGTTGTTACCGACAGCTTCCGGCGTCTTGGCAGACTGGTGGCCTGGGACATACATCACTGCCACTGCCTTCGGTTTTTCCACTGCCATTAATAGACGCTGGACTTCGGCTAGGTTCTTTAGATGTTTTCCTTCTGCTGTGCGGAATCCTCTTTCGCGATAGATGGCCCGTGGACATGGATGGTACCGAAAGCATAGCGGCTATCGGTGTAGATATTGACTCGCTTTCCTTTTGCCCTCTCCAGGGCCTCTGCCAAGGCAATTAATTCCGCTTTTTGGGCTGATGTTCCGGGTGGGAGGGCGCTGCTCCATACCGTATTTCCTTCTTGGTCGACTACAGCTGCCCCTGCCCTTCGGGCTCCATCTTGGAAAAAACTGCTTCCATCCGTGTACCAGTTTAATTTGCAGCCGGACAGGGGGGTATCCTTTAGGTCAGCCCGTACCTGTGTAACTTCGGAGAGGAATTCTTTGCAGTTATGGACAGGTGTCTGCAGTTCCGGGTTAGGCAACAAGGTGGCAGGGTTCAGGATTACGGGATCTGTGAATGTGATCCGAGGGGAATCCAACAAGAGCCCCTGGTAGTGGGTGAGCCTGGCATTCGTCATCCATTTCCCAGGGGGTTGTTTAAGGATTCCCTCCACCGGGTGAGGGGCCGTTACCCAGAGGGCCTGTCCAAAGGTTAGTTTATCGGCTTCTCTCACCAGCACGGCAATGGCCGCTATGATGCGGAGGCAGGGGGGCCATCCTGCCGCTACTGCGTCTAATTTCTTGGAAAAGTATGCCACTGGTCTCTTCCAGGGACCTAGCTGTTGGGTCAAGACTCCTTTGGCTACCCCCTTTTTCTCATCTACAAACAGAGTGAATGGTCTTGTAGGATCTGGCAAGGCTAAGGCAGGGGCCTGCAAAAGAGCGTCTTTTAGCTGATCAAAGGCCTGTTGTTCTCTCTCTCCCCAACTCCAATCTGGAGCTTCTTTGGTGGCCTCATATAGGGGTCTGGCTATTTCCGCAAATCCTGGAATCCAGAGTCTACAGAACCCCGCGGAGCCCAGGAATTCTCTCACCCCCCTAGTGGATGTCGGGGATGGGATAGCCAGAATAGTCTGTTTCATGGCATCAGTCAGCCACTTGCCCCATCTGCAATCCGATAACCCAAATACGTCACTGACCTTTTACAGATGTGAGTTTTCTTGGCACTTGCCCGATACCCCAGCTCACCTAATTCCGTTAGCAGGTGTTCAGTAGCCTTGATGCACTCCTCTCGGGTTTCTGCCGCTAACAGTAAGTCATCAACATACTGTAATAGAGTGACTCGTGGGTGGCTCCGACGAAAAGGTTCCAGGTCCTGGCTCAGGGCCTCATTAAACAGGGTGGGAGAGTTTTTAAATCCTTGCGGCAGTCTGGTCCAAGTGAGCTGTCCGGATTGGCCCCCATCTTCTTGCCATTCGAAAGCAAATAGCGGCTGACTAATTTCTGACAATGGAATGCTGAAGAAAGCATCTTTCAAATCAAGGGTTGTATACCATACTTGCGAGGGGGTAGGTGGCTGAGCAAGGTATAGGGATTCGGAACGGTGGGATGAATGTCCTCCGTCCGCTCGTTTACCTTTCGTAGGTCTTGCACAGGCCTATAGTCCCCGCTTCCCGGCTTTCGGACGGGGAGCAGAGGAGTATTCCAGGCAGACTGACAAGGTCGCAGTACTCCTTCCTTTATTAGCCTGTGGATATGAGGGGCTATGCCTCTTCGGGCCTCCTCAGGCATAGGATACTGTTTCACCCGAATGGGGAGAGCAGAAGCCTTCAATTGTATAACTACGGGCGGGAGGTGTTTGGCGAGGCCGGTTCCGCAGTCTCCGCCCAGGCCGTGGGAAATCTTTTTACCCAATGAGTCATGTCCCCTCCTGGTTCCTGTTGACTCTCAAACAGACGATGCTCGTCAGCCAATGATAGGGACAAGACATGAATCGGGCTCCCTTCTCGATCAGTCACAATTATTCCATCTGGTTCAAAATGGATATGGGCCCCTATTTTGGTGAGTAGGTCCCGTCCGAGCAGGGGAGCGGGGCTCTCAGGGACGACCAAGAAGGAGTGTGTGACCTGGTGTTTTCCTAAGTTCACCTTTCTTTTGGTAGTCCATGTACATAACTGCGTACCGGTGGCCCCCTGAACAACACTTGTTCGTGCCTTGTTCAAAGGTCCATGTGCCTTGTTTAAAACCGAATATTGGGCGCCGGTATCCACCATGAACCCCATCGGCTTCCCCTCCACATGCATTGTTACCCAGGACTCGGGGAGGGGGTCTGAGCCCCGTCTCCTTCAGTCCTCTTCTCCGGCTAGAGGACTCTGGCCTGCTCTACTGCTCGTTCCCTTTCCCTGTTTTCCCCCGGTCTCCTTCCAAACCCTCTTCTTCCCTTTAACTTAGGACATTCTCTCTTCCAATGCCCCGTTTCCTTACAGTAAAAACAGTGTTCCTTATCCGGGGTCCTGGCGTGGCCCCCTCCTCTGGGTTGGTCCCGGACACCCGCTAGGAAAATACGAGCCATTTCTCTCTGTTGCTTTCGGTTTTCCTTAGCCTGGAACTCCCGGTCCTCCTTTCTCAATTTCTCCTGGGCTCCCTGTCTTCCTTTCTCTGTCTTTCCTCCCTTTCTTCTGGAGTTTCCCTAGCGGTAAAGACCTTTTCTGCTACCTGTAGCATTTCCCTTATAGTCATCTCCCCTAAGTTTTCCTGTTTATTGAGTTTTCTCCTAATGTCTGGGCTGCCTGATTAATGAATGAGAGTACCACAGCAGACCGGTGGAGGTCCGCCTCAGGGTCAATAGGGGTGTACTGACGGTATGCCTCATAGAGGCGCTCTAAGAAACCGGCTGGGCTTTCGTTTTCCCCTTGAATGACTGCTTTTACTTTTGCAAAATTGGTGGGCCTTCTAGCGGCCGCTCGGAGACCGGCCATAGAGTCTGGCGGTAGATCCGAAGACGCTCCCTACCTTCTGCGGTCCCGAAATCCCAATCAGGCGGCGTAGGGGAAAAGCCTCGTCTATGGCCGGTTGGAGAGTTGTGGGTCTCCCATTATCCCCCAAGACGTTCTTCCTCGCTTCGTTGAGGATGCGCTCTCGTTCCTCCGTCGTAAAAAGAGTATTGAGCAGCTGATGACAGTCATCCCAAGTGGGCGGTGTGTATGCATGATGGACTCCAGGAGATCTATGAGACACTTGGGGTCTTCAGAAAAGGGCGGGTTCTGCGTCCTCCAGTTATATAGATCACTGGAGGAGAAGGGCCAGTACTGAAACTGTTGCCCTCCTCCCGGTCCCCCTTGGCCCACCATCCGGACTGGAAGTGTAGGGACAGTTTCCTCCCCCTGTGTTGATGAGGGGGGCCCGTCTTCCCCCTCCCTTTCCCGGATCCCTCGGGGGCGAAGTCTTCGACCCATTCCTCCTCCTGCTGCCAGTCCTGTTGAGGAGGATGAGGAAATTTCCTCCTCCGGGGCACTGGCTTGGCCAGGGGGAGTCACGTATGGAGGCGGCCGATCTTCCTCTGCCCCTGCGAGGGATGGGTAAAGGGGGGAACTCTCTGGTAAGACCGGAGATGGTGAAGGAGATGCCCTAATTTGAGGACCGGTCAAGGTGGGAAGAGGAAGTTTTTCCTCCTCCTTTATGACCAAGGCGGGCGTGACTGGGGTTTTAGCCCCGGGGGCCGAACTGGAGGGGTGGGTCAGAAAAACTGTTAACCAAGGGGGAGGGTTCCTCACCAGATCCTCCCAAACCAAAATGTAAGAACTTGGTCTGGATGGCCTCGATTGTCTGGCTGAAAAATGACTGCTTTAACCTTAGTGATCAGGTCTAGGGAGAGGGAACCTTGAATGGGCCACCCGACTCCAAAGGTGGGCCACTCTGCAGAACAAAAGGTGTCGAACTTACCTTTCTTGATGACCAGACCCGCATTTAAGGCCCTTTCTTTAACTTCTGGAAAGTGAGAAAGGATCAGAGACTTTGGGGTTGTTTGTCCCTGTCCCATTGTGGAAGGAGACTCAAACACCAAGAGAGATAGAACAAAAAGGGTAAAGGCAACAATAATTCCACACACACACAACACTCTCCAGCACTCGCTCGGACCGGTCCTTCTCTCACACTGGTGCGCACCCCATTCAACCTCCTCACCGTCCAACTGGGATATCAGGCCGAAAGGCGTCCACTTGACGGGTGGTCGGTCGACTAGCTCAATTAGTTCTTCACCTGGCGCCAGGGTTCCTAAAATGCTCGAGCCCAAATGAGAGGAAAGCCTCTCCCAATAGGACCCTGTGGTCCTCCTTGCGAGATTCCCAGAATGAATCTCCCTGGGGATTGGCCGAATCCCCGCCGCGGCCCAAATGGAACACTCAAGTTCCTCCAAATGAGGGTCTGGGATCCCCTCCCAACGCCTAGGACTTGGGATCGCCCCTGCTTTCTCGCAGGCAGGTTCTGTCTCTCGAGAAAATGAAATCTCGGTGGGACCTCCAAATGTTAGGACCCGGAATCCTATTCCCCCGAGAGACAGAGAGCCAGGCGTGAATGCAATCAACAAAGCAGAGTTTATTGGACTGGCTAGCCAGGGTCGAGCTCCCACATGGACACGCAGGACCGGTTAGGAAAGCAAGACCCTGAGCCTCTTAGGGGGAAATCTTATATAGACTGCAGTGGCGTGCATATTTTTGTTATCAACATTAGACAAGCAGGCAGAGCACATCCTGCACGTACCTCACATCTTGCTCGTATCTCACATCTTGCATTCCTCACATTCTATATGCCCTAACTGAGCCCTGCCTCATTGCTTATCTTATCTACATGGGATGTTTGGTACTGGTTTCTCCAACAAGGGGGTTGGGGCCCGCTGAGACCTCATATTCCTTTCACCAAAAGTAAATTAAATTGTAAAATTTTCCTGACCAACTATTCTGCTTTCTACTACTTCAATATTTCATAAGCAAAAAGATCCTGTGTGCTGATTTTCTTCTTCCCTTCTCACCTTTAGCTCAACCATAAATTTCCAGTAACAGTGCACACGGCACATCAAAAACCCACACCTGCTTTGGAGAAGGTAGCTCCGCTGAAAAGGGTCTACATTATTCAGCAGCCTCGGAAATGTTAAGCCGGGATGTAAAACACAACCATCTGGCGACTGTCTCAAGTATCTTCAGGTTTAGCAAGAAGGACCAAGATTTGCTGTAGGCCTAGTGCACTTGGGTGTAAATAAAACAGCTTTTGTATCTTCCCTTCTGACTTCAGATAATAAAGTGTCCAAAACTGTAAATCCAATTCATTTCTGTGCCCCTTTTTGGTGTGTGTCAGAGTCCCATTGGTATTTACATATATAATTCCGTAGCATAAGTGAAGAATCCAGAACGCCAAGCTATTTCACTCCACTGCGCTGGGCCAGTGCTCTTCTCCTGAGTGCTGACCCTGAGTTAATTCACCCATACTGAGTTCTGCTGCAGGCAAAGTTTATAGAGAAGCACGTGGAGCCTTGCAAAGGCCAATATTCTGTGCCAACATAAGGAGTGACTGTTCTCAATTTGTGTTAGGATGGTCACGTTTTCACTTGAAGTGAAATGTCTTTCCCAGTTCCCACACAAATACATAGATTGTTTTAAAGGTCTGATGTTGGAAAATGAAAAAAAAATTGGTTACAAACGTATTCCCTTCTGCCAAATAAGCAAAGAGGGAAGGGTGAACTATGGTTTCAGCAGATTTTCCGAAAGTTAAATGCTGGAAAATTGCAGGGCTCATGATTCCTCCGGCATTGAACTTGGGCTGTCATGGTTGATTTTCACTGGAGGTATGATGGGAAAGAAAGTGCTGCCATAACTAAGTCTACTCTAGCTTTCCCACCTTACACACACACTTCACATACTCACATGTGAACAGCCAAAGACATCCTCAGGTAATAGAAAGGGACAACCACAGTCTTTCTCCACAGACGTTAGCTGTCACTCACTGTTCCACAATTCTGCAACCCTAATTGATCATGCTACCCAATAATCAGCTCTTCTCTTTACCCAAGGAAGAGGATCCACACTTCAGCCCATCATTTTGCAGGATGACAACCCTTAGGGCATGACCTTGTGCCAAGCCATTCACTGACTTCTGGAAATCCAAAGGCACCTAGCTCAAGTCCAGTGGTGGCAAGGATTCAAACTGTCTCTTCCACTGCAGTGTTTGACTCTGTTTCAAGATAAGAGAATTATTGAGACAATATCGAGCTTTCAGACAATGCCAGCATGAATCAATAAGCCAATCCTATCCACCCCTACCTTTGGCCAGTTCCTAGTCCTCTGGTCCTGTTATCAGAAATACCTTAAAACTGAGGAGACTGAAGTCCTATTTCTGACCCTTACTACTTAGGATAGATAAATAAATGATAAGGTGATAAGAAAATTAAAAATAATAAATACCAAAAAGGCCAGACTCAGAAATTAAAACAGAACTGGGAAGTAAAAACTAAAAACTCAGAGCAGCAAGTTCTCCTATTACTGTTTCCTTTTAAATGTTAAGTTACAAGAGGGAGATTTAGAATAAAAGGCCTCCTTAGAGATGTTAATAAGCTGCAAATTCTTTGATTAGGTAGAGAGATAGAAAATTAAAGGACTTGTAGCAAATGAAATTCCTGAAACTCATGTCTATTGTCCATGTGTTTTAGGTTAACCTAGACTACACCTCATGTTTTTAAAAAATAAGATTCATTTTAGCCATGTTTTGGGTAATAATCCTACCTGGATTAAGGGCTGGTAAGTGACCAGGTTTCTAGATAGGAATTCAACATAAAATCCCCCAAATAAATAGCTCAACAAGAACCACCAGTTAGGGTCTTCTTCACTCCCCATTTCCTGCATATGGGGTTCAGGAAGTATCTCTCCTTTCCTTTCCTTTCCTATTTCTCCCTACTTTATCCTATTTTACTAAAATAAACCCTTGCTAAACTCTCACCTGGTAAGACTCTCCTTTTTGTGAGATCCCTTGAAATGCTTTTCATGTGGATCTCAAGTTCCTGTGACTTATATGGAAACTGGAAGCTGAGGGACTCCCTTGTCCTTCCGCTCTCTGTTAACACTAGTTCTTTGACTTTAAGCAAATCACACAACCTCTCTGATCCTTGTCAAATGGACACGATAACCCCTGACTACCCAGTTGAAACCTCCCAGTATTGCATCTACAAAGAACACAAAATGCACAAAATGACTGCTGAGATTTGGAAAAGTATTTAAAGGGAAGTGGCAAAAGCAAGGTAGAAGCTGCCAGAGTAGTGAGAAAGTGAGCTACAGAGATGACACAGGCTGAGACTGGAGTAGGAAATTCAGAGAACTGGTAAAGATCTGGGGCTGGAGGGAGATAGGGTGGAAACATCAGGAGGATTAGAGAAATAAGAAGAAAAATAGTGGCACTGCTAATTTCATTAGGGTGAGACAAGAGCCTGCCACCCAAAGGATGTTAAAAGAGAAGGACACATTTTCCTCTGTACAGAGACTAAGGCTATAGTACTACAAGGGAAAAGAGGCTGTCCCAAGGCAGACTATGCAGTGAGGACCCAGCATTAATACAGCTTCCCAACTGCAGTCATTTAAATCACCAAATTACAGGAGCAAGAAGTTTGGTGTGAGCTTCCAATCTGAAAGGAAATTGGAATTACCATGGAGAATATATCAGAAGGAAACGGTCCAGGCCCATTGGTTTTACCAGAAAGTTTAGTGCTGGTATCTGTGAAATTGACAGCAAGGTATATTAAGAAAGGAGTGCAGACTGAAAGTGAGTCAACTGTAGAGTGAGGACAACAGTGTAAGCATGTGAAGCTGGAATATTTACTGAGGAATTCTAAGCCCCAGGTTCTAGGATGGGCTCCTGGATCTGGGTTTTTATCTTACTAAATTAGTTTATCTGTGTGAAATTCTCAGCCCTTGATCTAGCTTGGTCTATCTGATAGAGATTACCTGTGTGAAACTCTCAGCCCCACCTGTCTAATGCCTAAAGTGCAGCTCTTGGGCCTGGGTCTTTGTCTTGTTAAGTTAAATAAATTACCTGTGTGAAACTCCCAGTCCAGGGCCTGACCAATGTTTAGGGTATGGCTTACTATTGAGTAAAGAAAGGATTAAGCTTTAGGTGAGTGGCTGACTTCAAAGCATCCTGTGATGTCCCCTACCAGGATCTCCTAAACCAAAAGGACAAAAGCATGCCAACTAATCAGTAGGAAGAAAGTTTAGATATGACTTAGAGGGTGGAAGGGAGGGAGTTGGTGAACGGAGATTAAGAAATCACCTAAGGGTCTTATGCAGTAAAGAAAGAAATGATATGGTGGCTGTGGAAATCAGTAACACATGTGAATATCTTTAGTAAACAGATTTAAGTTATGCATTTTATTATGAAAATTTCAAACATCCACCTAGCTTGGGTCAATGTAATTATTGAATCCTCACACATTCATCACAGAGCTTTAACAATGTGGCCAGTCTTAACTTAGCGATGGCATCCAGTCCCCTTTTGCCTTTCCTGCTCTCCTTCCTGAGTTATTTTGGAGCAAAATACAAACATATAATTTCATCTAGAAATTCTTCAGTATGTTATCTTTAAAAGATAAGCCCTAATGTGTGTGCTCTCTCTATCTCTTTCTCTATAAACTGAATTTTCACAAACATTGTAGAACAAAAGGTGTGTTTATGTAAGTCACCAAGAATCTTTCACCAGTGCCTGCCTAGCAAGTGCAAAGCAAAGTCCTGAGTTCAACACCAGTACCAAAAAAAAGAACGTTTCATCTAAAATGGAGACTGCCATTTGCTATAAACAAGCTAACAAACAAGACAAACAGCTGAACAAGTGACACCTACACAGAGAGGACTTTCTTGGAAATCTGAGAGAGCAAGGTAAACATAGAATTTCTGTGGGTAAATAAGAGGTACAGGGAAAAACACTAAGGAAAATTAATTCTTGCTGAGGAAAAGGATACAGAGAACATGTAGAAATACCAACTTTCTGAGACCACTTAAAAAATGGGGGTAGAGATAAGAGAGGAACGAAGGGGGATAACTAGTAGCAGGAAAAACTAAAATCAGTTTTTCAACCACCTTTTGCCAGCCTGCTTTGGTGTGAGAGACTTTCTTCAGAAAGAACCCAAGTCCAAGGAATGTGTGGCTCTCTTTTGGCACATGTTACATTTTAAAATGAATGTCTGCAATCAGAATAGGTAAGATTGGGTTACAACCACCATCCCATCTCCAGTGGATATTCAAGTCCTCCTCAAGATGGCTGGGAATTCCCAGGGAGGTCCATTGTCTCTGTCACCTCTGACTTCCAATTTGTTCATTCATTACTTGCTGATCCTGGACACTACCACCCTGATCTAAAAAAGCTTATTCTAGTGGGTGGTAAGATTTACAAAGATTTGATAGAGCATTACATCACAGTAACCAGACAACTGCCAATAGAACATCATAATACAGAAGCCCTGATTCTATGTGTGTCTTTCTTCTTCCTACCTCCCACCACCACCCCTACACCATCCGAGGATGGTATCTACTGCTCATTTTGCTAGCTGTCCCTTAACTTACCAGATGTGTTCCCCTTCCCTCCCCTTGCCTTTGCTCACTTTCTCTTTTCCCTGTCTTCAGACTTTTCCCTGGTTATTTGGACTCTTGGAAAACTACATACTCAGGGAGTCACCTTACCCCAAAATAGTCTCCTCAGCCCCAACAAGTCTAACATCAGCATTTCATCCAAACATGACAGAATGGATAGACAATGAATTAATCAGGAAAACCAAAGTGACAGAGAACCTGAGCAAAGAAAAATGAGAAGCTAAAGGAAAAAGAAGACAACTTTCAGAGGAAATGTTGAAGGCCTAAACAAAACATACACACACACCACACACACACACACACACACACACACACGTACACACATATACACACACATACATACACATACATATACACACACACACACAATTAGGCAAGCAGAGCTTCAATTAAAAATTCATATCACAGATGGAATTTATAGATCTTCACAAGAATCCTAAAAGATAGTGGTAATTATTATCCCACTCTACAGATGAGAAAAATGGGCCTCTAGGTTGGTTAACAGGTTCGGTGATGTTTTGTAGCTTGCTAAATGGAGGAATTTCTCTGGGAATCTCTTAATTCTAAATCTAGA